AGCGTATTCCAACCGCGAGCTATTTCAACCGAGCCGAACATGAGCCAAGCCTAAGCTCGCTCAAGCTCGGCTCGTTTACAGCCCTACCTTCAAGAGCTGATGCTCAAATTGTTAGCCACATTAGGCGTGGTTGGAGGCTCGTATAATAGCCTCTGATTATTCATTTTTGAAATATATATAAATATATATATTCTTATCCAAATTATTAATATATAAAAATTTTACTGGTACATTTAAGAAATATCTTCAATTATCCTCTGAATGTCATAAACAGCCATGAATTTAATTTCACACATTTAAATATAATCATGTCATTGTATCATCCAAACCATTTCAGATACTACAAACGCAAAAAATGAACAAATCATTAACATATTAGCTTTTTCATCTTTATATTAACTTAGCACAACATAGTAACTATACAACATAACCGAATTAATATGCAAAAAAATTACATTAACAGAATAGTTATAGTACAACATAACCAAATGAATCGCATGCAATATGACTTAGTATTTAAAGTCTGAATCTTAAACTTTTACTCGCAAAACACAAGTGCTAAAACAAATCACAGCACTCCCCTATCTTTACATTCAAAGCACCAGCCCCCCAAACACAATCAAACAAACATAAAATGAAATATATTATATCCAGCCCTCGTAGAGAAATGCCTGAATTGTTCTCTCTCTCTCCTACAGCACTGAACATTCCTACTCTCTATTTCCTAGCTTCTACATCCATTCCCCCAGTTCTCATATATCAAGGATGTACCAAGCATCAACTGGTCATTCATAAAGCTTTTCGCTTAATTTTCGTCGGCCAGTCATCTTCCAGAAGGCATAATTTTACATGTATGCGGCTTCGTCATATTTATGTGCATGGTTTTAAAGGAAATAAGTGAGCTGTTGCTTTTTCCTGGAGCCTCCTTCCCCATATAAATCATTCCACTGCTTCAGCTCAGCCATTATCGATCCTTCGGCAGAAAAACTGGGAGCAACCTGCATCACGAACATGTTTAGCAATGTCATACAGACTTGTTTCATTAGCTTCTGGGTCTCATCAAGATGGGTATCTACTTTTCTCCAAATTTTGAATAATAAAACTAATAATAATAATAATATACTTCAACACAAAAACACTTCACAGTTCAAAAAAAGATGTAACGGTCTGCTTTCTGAAATACTTTTGCTTTATATTGAGGATTTGCTTATATCAACTTGTAGATGGACTGCACAGTGTTAATTTTAACATGTCCTTACACAAGTTGTGAAGACGAATGCAAATGTATTAGTAACCCATTGTTTAGACCCAAATGCCAAGAATGAAAATGTGATCATATGTGTAGGTTAGCCAATGTCATATGCTTTCCCACAAATAAATCAAGTCAACATATTTTCTTCATGATTAAGAACAGCATTGTTCAGAAAATTAAACTATCTTCATGTGGATTTCTATAAAAAAGACAAAACGATTGAAGCTCTCAAATTATCATTTTCCATATGCACACACTTCCAGAATTAGAGGACAGCAATATGGAGTCGAATTAGGTTTCTTATGGTTATGGAACACCAAATATGCATTTGACCTACAGATTGATCAAAAGTCGCATTGTAAAACAGATCAAACACGTTCCAAAAAATTGGTTCATACTAACTTGATTCTTTGCCTGCTTCATATCTTCCATGTTTAAGGGCCTCAGGATGATTGGTGTTTCATCATCTTCTTCCTCATTATCAGAATTCTCTGCTCTCTCAGCATGTTTCTTTCTTTCCTGAAAATTAAAAGGGACATTTTGTTTAAGAAGCGTTAAATTCATAGATTTCATAAATCAGGTTATAAAAGTAGGTGTGTAAGAAAAATAAAGTGTAGCTAATCCCGAAAGAAATAGTTTTATGCAAACATAACTGAAAGAATGATAAATAAAAAGATTAAACTACAAATAACTCCTGTTAAGTAACAATAGAAAATTTGATCTATTAGATATTAAACATTTCATCTTGATTTTAATTAGTTCGCAGATTAATTTTGAATCAATAAGGCAACTAATAAATCAGCAGCTTTTGAGAAAAGAACATAGCGTTTTGCCAACTTGGTGTTCCCTTTTTAGCACTACCAACTCTCAACTTAGCAAACGGCACCAGTTAGTGATAACAGTCATTACCAATTCTATCTGCCTTTCTTGCTTAATTAGCTCCCGAACGGGACGATAGGCCGCTGCAGTGCATAGATTCTGCTCAGAAATTCCTTGGGTTAGTGATAACTATCAGAAAACATATACCATCTAGTAAAATATAAGCCGTATGAAAAATACAAACCTTAAGATCACTACCACTATAACCGTCCGTCATTGCTGCAAGCTCCTTATATTCAAGCCCCTCATCAACCTTCTCTTTTGAAAGAAGTGATTTCAAAATCAGTTCTCTACTCTCCGCGGATGGCAGGCCGACCATTATTCTGCACATAATACATAAACATTAAAGATATGTTCGAAAGAGAGATCATGTACAAATACCACATAAAACGAAACAAACCTGCGTTCAAACCTCCTAATTATTGCTTCATCAAGATCAAATGGTCTGTTTGTTGCTCCAAGAACTAGGATTCTCTCCCCCGGTTTTGTCAAGAGCCCATCCCAATGAGTCATGAACTCATTCTTAATCTTCCGCATCGCATCGTGCTCGCCAACCCTCATTCTTTGCCCAAGCAAGCTATCAACCTCGTCCACAAAGATAATAGTGGGTGAAACCTTCGCAGCGAGCGTGAACAATGCCCTGACATTTTTCTCATCTTCACCAAACCATTTTGATGTGATAGTAGACATTGATACGTTTATGAAACTTGCTCCAGCTTCATTTGCAATGGCCTTTGCCAGCATAGTTTTCCCAGTTCCAGGTGGACCGAAAAGCAGTATTCCTCTACAAGGCTTGAGAAGGCCTCTGAATAGGTCTGGTCTCCGAAGGGGGAGCATGACGAGCTCCTGAAGAGACTCTTTTATATCATCCAAAGCACCTATATCTTCAAATTTTACTCCAATTTCACTTGATGGGATCACTTCAGGTCTGATGCGCTTCTCAAATTCATTGTCCGGAGGAACTTCCTATATAAACAAGAAACTCATTTCTTTCCTTCGAGAATTCCATAACAAAAGCATCCTAAATCCAATATTTTGTGAAATATATAGCTCTGTTGTTTGTTAAGCTACTGTGCTATTGGCATCCTACTTTATAACAAACAACACAGCATCAACTAGATGCATGCTAAAAAATCTAACAATTAAACAAGCACTATTGTTAGAAATGAAAATAAAAATTGCGTTAAATGCAATGCAAGTGGATCTAGAACAGGAGAAAACATTACTTTGGGCCAACCAGAAGCCCGGATAACAGTCTGAATGAGACCACGCCGCCGTATATTGCACGGCAGTCCACAAATACTGAAAATAGGAGGAGGAAAAAAAAAGAGCAAACCAATTGGGCGCTTCTATTAGACGATTTGGTTAGTGTAATGCTTGATTCCTGATTTTAGATCATGTGGGAGAGGAGACGGGCGAGCTGGACTTGACTTGGAGTTGTGAAAGACGAAGTGGGAGAGCAGGTTTTGCCTGAGGGAGACGAGCGCTGGGTCGAGCGGGATTCGGTCGCTTGAGTTAAAAGCGTCGTCTAAGTCCTGTGCGAACAGGAGAGAGGGAAGATCGGGCTTTGGCTGCTGTATGCGAAAAACGAAAGGGGAGCAGCCGAGAATGGTTGGGTTTTTGCGGGCTTCTGGCGCGAGTGAGGTGGAGTGAACAGTGAGGGAGACTGGCATGCCTTTTGCTGGCAAACAGGCAATGATCGAGGGTATTCTAAGTGCTAGCTTGGCTTGATACGAAGCCTTGTTGTGCGGTCCGGCCAAAGGAGAAACAAGAGATGAGAGAGTTGCTGTACGATGAACGTGCGTGCACAGCAGGAAGGAGATCGGGAGTGTAGTGGCGTCAGCACCGGTGGAGGAGAACGAAGAGAGGTCTGGAGTTCGGCTTCTGTGTATGGGAGAGAGGTGTTTCTCGGTTTGACTATGAGTTGCGCCGAATCGGAGAGGGAAACGGAGCCGAGAGCTGGGACGACGCGTGCATTAGTGGAGAACTAGGAGTAAATAAAATTTAATGAGGAGGGGTTGGGAGAAAAAGAGTACGCCGAAGATGTAGAGAATATGTGAAAAATTTTTTTGGAAGTGGTTACCAGTTCATGCAAGCACTCCAAGGAAATAAGGAAACATAGAGCCAAACCAATGCAGATGGGATAAGGCCAATGATGTTGATACTGCTAAAGACAATGATGAAGATGTCAAAGATGTCAAAGATGTCAAAGATAACTTACAGGTGCTTTATTTGATGATCCCACCTCATTCTTAGCAGCTACACCTGGCTTCTCTGATTCATTTTTATTTTCAGAAGTCGAGCCTTCAGTTTTCGTCTCAGGCTTTTTCGTGGCCTCAATTTCTACATTATCCTCCTAAATAATAACATAAAATTAAGTTCATATTTTCCCAAGAAAGTAAGAAACTCTATTGTGCATCTATATTTTTTAAAATGTGACAAAATACAGCAAAAACATGCACACACACCTTTGCAACATCAGTATTGGCCTCAAGTTTTAGGGAATCTTTATCACCAAGCTTGTTCTCCTGAAATATACTTAGTACATGGGACAAACTGTTTTAAGGAAAAAAATTAGTCAAGGGAATAAAGACAATAAAAAATAATGAAGTAAATCTGCAATAACTGACCAACCTTTTTAATGAAATAACTAGTTTTCCGTTTCTGTACTCAGGATCCTTGTTATGCATCAAATGATAAGAGACAGCAGATACTAGAATTTCTTCTATATAATTGCTTATAATTGTTGCATCTGCTTGGCATATTGAACCCAAGTCATTACAGTCTAAATCATTGGAGGCAAGCACCTCCATAATGTGGTTTTTGTTATCCTGAGACTGCATTATTTTTGTGTCTTCTTCCAATTGTGATTTCCAACTTACAAGATGACTTTCATCTTGTGGAGGCTTAATCTCTATGTTATACGGAAACAAAATACTTAGTCTCTCATCCACCTCTCCATAATCGCCATCAGATTCAATGATCCTTGAACCAAGTATCAACACAGATCCGGAAAATCTATTCAACATTTTTTGGAACATAGAATGTATCCTTTTGGATCTCAAGACTAGGTTCTCAACATCCCTTATGTAGAGGATAACGGGATTATTTTTTGAAACTGAGACGAGAATCTGTATATAACTGCCAAGATCACCATCTTTTCTCAAACAAATAAAGAATAAATGCTTTTCAAAAAAATAAACAGAGGAATTTCTATAACAAGAGAGGAAAAATGGCAAACAAAATTCTTTGTACCTTGTAAAGTGCTTCTATAAGCAGCTTCTCATCAAAATTCAAGTTTCCACTGCGCTTCAGAGGGACGATAGGAGCTAGATTGATAATAATCATGAAAATAAGAGGAAGAAGACAATAATATATATTTATTACCACCACATAGTCATACTTAATGTAATGCATATAAAATAAGACAAGGAATTAATATGACTTTACAGTAATATAATAAAGTAAATATACAACATAATGTTTGGGATATGTTGTAGCAACAACAACAAATGGTTAGGCATAGCATACTAATGATGTGAAAAAATGTAATAATTGTTTCATAGTAGTTTGCTTAGGTGAGGCATATTTTCTTATTGTAGTAGGTCCTCAAAGATTTTTTTGAAAATTCTGTGTGGGCTGCAAAATTTTGCCGCCCGGGTCTCCCTCAAAAAATAAAGGATGAGATGATAAAGTTTACCTCCATGTTTCATGTAAAATTTTTTTGAAAATTCTGTGTGGGCTGCAAAATTTTGACGCCCTGGTCTACCTCAAAAAATAAATGATGAGATGATAAAGTTTACCGCCATGTTTCATGTAAAGTTTTCAAAAGGCAGATAAGACACTACCCATAAATGTGCCCTCATTTGTGAGGACTTTAAGATTTGGGATTCGAGATTTCCTATAAGCACAAGCCCTAATGGTTAATTACCCTCAATAATCGCAGAGCACATTCAATAAAGGTTAATAATTAGGTGCTAAGTATTCTAATACGATGTAAAATTACATTATTTCTTAACTTGAATTATTATTTTCTTTCATAATTATCATAATTTTATGCTTGTAGAAAGCTCTTTGTGGTATTTTGCACGTAATAAAGGTCTAGCGTACTTTACGGAGCTAATACACAAAGCAAGGTAAGGAGTTGAACTGGCATAACCATGCCAAAATGTTGTGTAATTATACTGTGCTTATTGTCGGTCTCCCTTAGCTATGCTAGCTTACAGAGTGGCCACGCCAGCTGTGGTGTGGTTGCGCTAGGTCTACGTCGCGGCCTACCCAAGTTTAATTTGGAAAAAATTTTCATGGTGATTTTGGCAATAACTATATAAGGAGATTCTAAGGGATAATTAAGAGACTCTTGGAAAATGTGGAGATTGTTTCTCTTTAGGTTTTAGTAGAGTATTTGTCAACCTTAGGGTTTTCTCCAATAGTTCTCTTTGGGGAAGATTTCTAGGGTTGTTTCTTGTGAGTGTGGAGAGGTTGTGAGGAGAGATTGAGTGCAATTGTATGAGGGAGATCTACAAAATGCTTGTATTGAATGAAGATGATCATAGTGTATTGAAAGGATTGATTGGCTCGGTTTTGAATTTTATGTTGCTTGCATTGTTTTCCTTTTTATGCCCACAATAACAATTTTTTTGTCTTTTTTTCTCATGCATTGTAGTTAATCTCATTTTCATACTTCTGTGATGTAAAACATGTAATTTTTATTCTATGGATTACGTTCCCTATATACCTTTTTTATACTTGGATTTTATATGATTATGTGTTAACTTTTTTATCTTAATTTACTTCAAATTTGAC